AAGAAAATTTATTTTTATTAGAAAGAATACGAGCATTTCAATATCATGATTGTTCAAATGTTTGTCATGAAAAATGCCGACCAATAGCATCTTATAAACCAGAAAAACGAATTGGTGGATTATCTGATTCTTAAATTGTTGTTAATTTAACTCTTTTTGAAGCAGGCAGTGTCACCACAGGGAAGTTTTAAATCCTTCTCAGTCGTTTGTTTCTTTTTCATTACATCATTTCTAGATACTACAGATGTTATATTGAAGAAAGCAGATAAAATATTATTATTCTCACTTCACTGATAAGAAAATGTAGAAATAACAATCTTCTTCTTAAAAATTTTGATCTTGACTTAAATAATTAGACATAATATTACATTTTAGGTGTTTATAGTCATCATAGATTATCTCATTTATATTCATCGTCAAATCTGACTGGAAATAATTCTGGTTCACAACATCGAACTCATTTAGGTTATTTAAGGAAATACACTCATCTATTAAAACAATGAAAACAAAGATAGTTTGTATTTGATTCCCTACGACATGAAGTAATCATTCAATTTTCTTCTGTTTTGTATGCATCTATACGTGATATTCAATATCTAACCATACATGAAGAAAAGCAAATCTTCTCAGAACAAAAATGAGGTAAATTTATTTTGTTTAAAATCCTATAATACTGAAATGAATTAAAGTCTTCTAAATCACTCAGTTTATGATACACCTGATGCTCTTTTAAAACCTATTCAAAATATTGATCGATCAGCTCAAAGCCCAGACTTTAAATTAGCTGAAAATAAAAGAAGCTTTTGCTAATAGATCTGTCGTTACAAAATTCCGTGCTGTTCTTGATGAAAAAATTGGTCAATCTCCAGCACAAGTTCCGCTATTGATAATTGCATGTTTTGAAGAAGATTATCATACAATTAAATATTTTACTTGATGTAAGTTTTTTATTTTATGTTAGTTAATATTGAAAAATCTTAAAACAAGACTGGTGCTGGTCCAAGTCAAACAGAAAGTGAACATAATTTAACACCAATTCATATTTACGTTGATAAGCGATATAAAGGAAAAACATTAACAGAACAGCAAAGAGCAGATCTTATACGATAAATGGCTAAAAATTGATCATTCAGAATGTTCAGATGTTTTAATTGAAGCTAATGTTGATCGAAATGTTTATCTATGGGTGAAAGAGCTCTTAGTATTGTTGCAAGATGAAATTGGAATAAAACTCTCAAAAAAAATGACTTAATTACCCACTAAAAAGAACTGTTTTTTCAAATAAAACTGGTGAATCTGTTTTATATTTTGCTACTACTGGTGTGATTTCATTCTTCTTTAATTATTTTTTAAATAGAAATATTTGATAGTTCAGTATGTGTTTAATTATTGTTAAAAATCGAATTAATTGTAAATGCTCAAGGTACATTTGAAAATACTTCAGCAATGGTTACTTTTTTTTTCAATAAACCAAATATTCGTAAAACACTTATTAAAGCAAAGGCTAATTTAACAATTAAAAGTAATGAAGAAAGAAAAATGCAGTTGCTCCTTTTGATGAAAGAGGTGTTGATGAATGCAAAGCTGTTCTCCAAGAAAAATGAACAAATTTAACGTGTATTACACTTTTTTTTTCAAACGCTTTTTGTAATTCCTTTTTTTTTAGTATCAAGCTTTGTTTTAATAAACTAATATATTCACATTTATATCCTCAAAAATCAAATGATTGTTATTAATCAACTCATTTCATATACAAATTATTTGAATAAATATAAGCAATCAAGATAAAATACTTGTGATTTTTAAATAAAAATATTCTTTAAATGATTGTTTTATTTAACTCTATGGCTCAGCGTTCTATCAATTACATGCCTAGATAAAAGTCTTTTCTTCCTCTCTTTTCATACTGTTGTTCATCGCTTTAGTTTCAAGTAAATCTTAGTTTTCTACTGTTGGGTCCCTAAAACACTCGCCCTTAAGACAAAGCTCGATTAATAATGCATGAACGATTAATCGAGTCTAGTCAAGCCCGAAACTCTTTTACAGTTGTCATATCCCAAAAATAATAGCCAAGTTATGAAGCATTCTGGGTGTGGATGCGGGTGCATATACGCTTTTCATCTGCATCCACACCCACACTCTCGATATTCAGTCATACTACTCTATTCTGTTCTCCGAACATCATTAATTACTTGAGTAGATTTTTTTACGAATTGAAACCACGAGCAAAACTGAAACATTCGAAAGTTTTAATTCTTTATGAATCCTATTGATATTTGCAGTATATTTAAAAACTAAATACAGAGACAAAATACGAAAAATAGTGTGATGGTTAAATAGGAGGATGATACTTTTGCATAACATTGATCAAATCTGCATAAACTAGTTTGTTGACGTTTAAAGCGACAATGAAATCTGCATGATTATAATCTGGAAGGTATTTTTGATAGACCAGGGACTCTATATTGTCAAAAATAAATTTCACATCAGTCGGATCTGCAAGCCAATCTTCACCACCTGAGAATATTGCTGTAGGTATTTTCATAGGATGAATAGGGTATAACGGTGGTGTCGTTTGATTGTAATGTTGTTGATTCTTGTCTGGTGAACCATAATCATAAGCTTGAAAGACATTGGTTTGCACGCCCTGTGCGAAATGGATCATATTCTTCACCGACGTTCCAGCAGGTAAATGTCCTGTATAGACTGGAATTCGTGTAACATTCAAATTTTTCTTGTCGGGACCAAAAAGAAGGAAGTAGATGTTTTCACACAGATCTCGATCGATGATTGGTTGATCACAGGCAATAACTTCCAGCCATTCTTGAATTTCGGACGCAGGAAGAAACTCATTACGCCCAAATAATATATGCCAAAATCTCTCCAAATCTTTCTCTACAGTTTGTGTCGCTAGATATTTAATCGGTGATTCGATATGGCCTAGATGTGCCACCGGTGCTAATGCTGCCCAGAAACTGACATTTTTTTGTAGAACACTATCTGGACGACCGAACTCAGCAAACCCGATCATTGTGCCTTGCGAATGACCGATATAACTTATTTGTGTTTGTTTTGTCACATTTAGAATGTAAAAAATCATGGATGGTAGATCAACACTTGCCATTTCATCCCAACTGAAGTCCCAAAACTCTTCATCATGATCAGGATTGTATTTGACATGAGCACGCGAATAGTGGTTGCCACGTATATTGCCCAACCACACATCGTATCCAGCGTCGGCGAGTAGGAAACCGAGACTTTGATCCGGAAAATTGACTACCCAAGTGGCAGCTGAATCGAGCAGGCCATGTTGAAGGAGAACGGGTCGGCCGACTGTTTGGGTTTGTCGACCATGTGGTATACGGAAAATAGTAAGGATGTATCCGTCTTCAGTGACAGTTTTGTGTTCCTCGCATGGATAGCCTTTACTTATTATCAATTGACTGACATTGCGGTGCCAATCCGGATCAGGTTGCTGCGATTGTGACGTCTGTGGCAGCGTTCTTGACCAACACAAGGTCAGTGACAGTAGCAGAGACACAGTTCCTGGAATAAAACAAGAAAATACGATTCACTGTTGCTCAAGACAGTAATTTTGTGAACGTACTGACCTAGCATTTTTTCTGAACGTCGTTTTCGTCGCTATATTCACACATCAGACACGAAAAAGAGTGTTGTCGTTGGCTTTTATCTACCTTCAGATAAACGTATAATAGCAGCAGAGAGAAAAACAATATACGATAACGACAATCACACGTCCTTGCTTATCACTGAGGTATCCAACAACATAAAAATTTGCTTCATAGTCCTTTGTTATTCTGTAAAGCTTGAAACTCAATGTTTGTTGTTGTGTTACTTTCACATGACCTGAAATAGATGTCACTTGCAGTGACTTACTTCATCTTCGTTAGCTTTTTTTCTCCAAACATCGATATCCAGAGTATACTGCAGTACCGGACGAAAATTCAATGAGCAAAGACAGCATTTAGTCAGCATATTTTCTGTCTCGCATTATCAATGATTTCATGAACGTTTACTTGAATTTAAATCCAAAATGAATTTTGCAATATAGCGGTATACTCATTCCCTATATAAGAGCTCTGTCTCCAGGCTCAAGACACGGATTCACTGATCAAAAAGACGAACGAAGAGAAAGTTTCAAGTGGGATGTAAATAGAGGAGAGAGTAATGACAAGAAAAACATTGCACAGTAACAGCTACACTCAACAAGGAGTCATTTGAAAAAATTCTAATTAAATAATCCAAACAATAAAGAAGATAGAGACAAAATATTCATATTGGCCATTAGGTTTGGTGTTCCCGTTTATTATATGTATTAGATCATCTAACAGATAATAATGATACGTACCATCGTGAATTTCACTTAGGGATAAAGAGTCTTGTAATATTCCACTAAATGGTTTGCATATCTATCAAATAAATCTTTTTCTTTATTTCAGATGTCAATTCCAGTGAAATTTATTAGAAGATTAGACAAGTATATTGTATTTTTCTATAAATGAATCTTTATTTATAATTTAGTTTTTTGTTAATGTATTCAGTTCTTAATACAACATTTGTTATTCCATCTTCATCAATCAATGCCCCATTAGAAGGCATTTTTAAAGGATCATCACAAATGACAGGTTAATATTTTTTATTTAAAAGCTAAAAGTTAAATAATTATTATCTTCAAATGAATTAGCTTGTCTTGTGTTTGACTTTTTATGTTATCATTAATTAATTCGTTTCCTATTAGATGAAGATTCGAGAAAAAGATGAATCATTACTTGAATCAATAATTGATATTTAACACATTAAAAAATTGCAAGTTCATGAATCTGAATCTGAACATGAACTAATACGTGATGATTGGATATCTACTTGTCGATCTTTAGGTTGCAGTATTTTAGTTGGTTCTTATTTTTACAAAAGTTCATTTATGGAATGATCAAGGAGAAACTATAACAAGTCTTCCAACATCTAAGAATCCTGTTAGATCTCGTGCTTTTATTTATTAAAGTTTCATAGAAAAATGGCTATTTATAAAAATATTTTTGTTTTCATTGTTGAAATCAAGATCAACATGAACCTCTGACTGGATGACATAACCAAACAATTCTGAAATAAAACT